TTTTCAGAGTAAAATTTTACTTTTAGCTTCAGAGTCTCACAGTTTACTTGTTTTTCAGAGTAAAATTTTACTTTTAGCTTCAGAGTCTCACAGTTTACTTGTTTTTCAGAGTAAAATTTTACTTTTAGCTTCAGAGTCTCACAGTTTACTTGTTTTTCAGAGTAAAATTTTACTTTTAGCTTCAGAGTCTCACAGTTTACTTGTTTTTCAGAGTAAAATTTTACTTTTAGCTTCAGAGTCTCACAGTTTACTTGTTTTTCAGAGTAAAATTTTACTTTTAGCTTCAGAGTCTCACAGTTTACTTGTTTTTTAGAGTAAAATTTTACTTTTAGCTTCAGAGTCTCACAGTTTACTCGTTTTTCAGAGTAAAATTTTACTCTGTATTAAGGTAAAATTTTACACTCTGAAACTAAAAGTAAAATTTTACTATGTATAAAAGTAAAATTTTACTCTGAAAAACTAGTAAAATGTTAGACTCTGCACAAAAGTAAAATTTTACTCTGTATAAAAGTAAAATTTTACTTTGAAAAATGCACAAAAGTAAAAAAAACGAAGGCAGTGTTTGTGGCGGCTGAAGTGTTTGGCAATAACCACCTCTTGACTGTAAAATTTTACTGTCATTCTAATACCAGAGTAAAATCTTACTCTAATTTTCTCAAACAAAAAACAGAGCAATAGAACCAGATAAAATTTTACTCTCATTATCTGAAACAAAAAACAGAGCAATAGAACCAGGGTAAAATTTTACTCTGGTTCTGTCAAATGAAATCAGATCAAAAACAACAACGAAAAATCCAAAAACAAACAAACAAACAAAAACAAAACAAATTAATCAACATATCTAATTGAGAAGAAAAACTTCTAAAACTCGATCAATAATCACAAATCTCAATGAAACTCTCGTTTAATTGAGAGTGTTGATTGTTGGCGGTGAGATCGTCTATTGTTGACCAAGTGAAAGATCTTTTGCTGTGAGATCTTTAGATTTGGAGATCGTCTTCATTGATTTCGTTCCTGCGAGATCTTCAGCTAAGATTTTAAATATTTCAAATGTATGATACTTATATATAGATGGGCAATATTGTGATAAAAAAAAAATAGAAATTATAAAATGTTCTTATTAAGGTAGGCATTTCCTACTTAAGGGTTTTTTAAAAGAAAATTGATTGGGTTATTCTTTACCCTAATAAAAAGGCCTAAAAGAGGGGTTTCACCAAAAATCTCCAATATATATATATATATATATATTGACTCATTTTAGGAAGTGGGTTAGAACTCATTTCCTACCTTTTAATCCATTTATCTCTCTCATAAAAAAATTTAAAAAATTCAAAAAATCCTTTTAATTATTTTCTCAAAACACTCCAAGCTCATTCTAGATCATGTGATCAGAGGTATTACTTGATTTTTGAGTTTATATTTTTAGAATGGCCCAAAGAGCCTTAGGACACAATTCTCAATTATCTATTAAAAAAAAAAATTCACACTTAGGTCAAGTTTGGATAGTTTAAAAAAAGTTAAAAAGTCAAAAAGTTACTTAAAAAGTTAAAAAGTCATCACTATTTACTAAAAGTCAATAATTACGGCTGCACAATTCCCAATTCTAATTTTCCCCTACAAACTAATTTTTACAATTTTTTATTACACATTTTTCCATAAAAAGTCAAAAAATTAACCCAAACATTCATATTTTCAACCTCAACTTTTTAATCTAAAAAGACAAAAAGTACACTTATTTAATTTTTCCAAACTTGATCTTAATATGAGATGTTGATAGAGGACATTTTTTCCCCCTCAATTTATACCGACAAAAGAAAATATTTATATTGACACAGCAAGAGAAAACCCGACATCTCATTTATTTAGGGGATTGACTTGGCCTTGTAATGCTGTTTTTTGATAAATAAAGAAATTGATCATCAATGGGATATAGACACGTGTCAAGATTCATCTAAAAAGAAATTCAAACAAGCCTTTTTTTGGATCTGTGGTAGGTGAAAAGGCAAAACAGGAGATGCTTGTGTTAGGTGGAAACCAAAGTGAATATACGAGGAAATAAAACAACAGATTCATATGATTTTAAAATAATCCAATCATACGAAGGTATTCCACAAGCATTTCTCACTAATGTTTCACATATTGGGTTGGATTAGGATGTGGGTTAGTTTTTTAATTTTTTGATTATTTTAATTTGAGATTAAAAAGTCTCGTTTGAAATTAATTTTTTTATTTTTTTTTTGAATTTTGTAACAGAAAAAATAAAATAATTATGATTTAAATATAATATTTTATTTTATTAACTTTTTAACTTATTTTATCTTTTTGTGATTATTTTAGCTCCAAATTATTATGCCAAACGGGTACATTGTTTGGTTCAATTTTTTACATAATAATAAAATTTAAAATTTAGAACATTTGCTTAGCTTTATTCATTAAAAAAAATTAAAAGTTATGTGAATGAAATTTTTTAAAAAAAACTCAATATAATTGTATCAAACTTATAAAACCTTGTTTAGTTTACAGTGGTTTTCTAAAAATTGAGAATTTTTTATTTTGGTGTTTTTCTATTTTTCGTGAATTTAAAAAAAAAATTAAGTAATTTTTATTTTTATTTTTTAGATGTACCTAATCTAAATACACTTAAAATATAAAACATTTGTAAGAAAATATTTAAAATAATAAAAATGCACTTAATTTATATATATTTTGTATTTAGAGTTTTTTTTTTAAAAAAATTCACAAATATTATATTTTTTAAATATATCTAACAATACATCTAAAAAGTTTATAAATAAAAAAAAAGGCAAAAAATATTTTAAAAAATTCAATAAAAACAAAAAAAAATATGAAAAATAAAAAACTGAATTTTTAGAAATTTACACTAAATCAAACATATTGTCTCCAAATCTTTAAAAAATAAAAAAATAGTAATTTACCCAAAAATATATAAACGGTGGGACAAAGAGTAGGCTAGATTACATTATATTCCTGGTAAACAAGGGTCCCACTTACAAACCACCCCCACTCCATGCTCCCATACCAAACTCTTCAACATCCACTAAAAAGAAAATGACCGAGAGCACTAATTAGTACTATCACTAATGATGTGACAGTGAACCTCACCAGGAATAATTTGATATTTTGACCTTAGTGTTTTATTTTTTTTCTTTTTTTATTGAGTGTCATGTCATTAGTGATCTTTTTAGAGCTCCAAAATTAATGGTCTCTATCATTGTTGCCACCAAAAAGCATCCAAGCATCCAAGATATTAGAAAGGGAGATTTTAACCAAACCTTATGACCTCATACCTTCATCAAGTAAGGTAAGGCTGCTGATAGAAGACAAAAATGTGGATAGGTAAGGCTGCTGAGGCATCAATAGGTCAATAATACCCTTTTGCCTTTTCCCTGGTAAGTCCCACAAAACAGCATTGCTTGGTAGAACACAACAAAAATGGATGAACCATGAAGAGATTGGATTGGCTTACCCTTCTTGAATGGCTTGAATCCAATACCCAATCCAATTTCAGTCAAAATGACACAAAACTCCTTCATACCCACAAACCATTTATGAGCCAAATGCTCAAAAATTGCATGCCATTCCTTCAGGACAACTGGATATAACTCAGAGAAGCAAAGATTACCAGAAACAAGAACAGAATTTTAAAAACACAATACAATTTCAGATGCAACCCAAAATAATAGAAGTGGATTGTTTGCTCTTTAGTTCCACACATCAAAAATTACAAATGAGATCAAACCATCTGTTCCTAAATTCACAATTATAAAACCTAATTACCCGATCAACCACATAACGTTGCAAAACTCAAGACATGTCCAAGAGTTTGGTATACAAATTACACCAAAATTCCCTCTCTTTTGATCTTGATTCAGTTTGCAGACCTGGCTGCTCTTCGGAAGAAGATGAAAGACGTGAAAGAGAACCTAACCTCCTCTTATTATGAAATGATACGAGGCCACGACCTGACCCAGATCTTTCAAGCATGGCCTCATCACTCAAAATCCAAAACCCAATTGATGAAATTGAGATTTGACTACCAACAACCAAGAATCTCATGTTGTGAAGCCTAGCAAAGTGCTTTAGCTGCGGCAACAACAGCCTCTGCTGTTATGCCAAACTCCTTGTATATTTTTCCTGCTGGAGCACTCGCCCCAAATCGGTCAATTCCAATTGCCTTTCCTTTGGTTCCAACAATCTTTTCCCAGCCAAATGTCGTTCCGGCTTCAATGCTAACCCTAGCTGTTACAGCTTCTGGGAGGACACTTTCCTTATAAGCATTGGATTGTTCATCAAATAGCTCCCATGAAATGAAGGACACAAGCCTCACAGCTTTCCCTTCCTTTCTGAGTTCATCGGCTGCCTTGGAAGCAATTTCAAGTTCAGAACCAGTACCAATCAAGATAACATCTGGCTTGTTACCCGAAGAATTATCTGATACAATGTAACCACCCTTTTCCACTCCTTCAACGGAAGTTCCTGGAAGTTGGGGTAGCTTTTGCCAGATGAATTGAGGATCGCAACCTTGTATGCGCCAGCTGTCTCGTTGCCATCAGCCGGTCGGAGCATCAAAATGTTGGGCATTGCTCGGAAGCTTGCCAAGTGCTCGATTGGTTGATGTGTGGGCCCATCTTCTCCGAGACCGATTGAATCGTGGGTCATTACATAGATAACTCCAGCTTCAGATAAGGCGGAGATCCTAATGGCGGCTCTCATGTAGTCTGTGAAAACAAAGAAAGTCGCACAGTAGGGAATGAGCCCTGGGGTGTGGTGGGCAATCCCGTTGCAGATTGCTCCCATTCCGTGCTCACGAACACCAAACCTGAGATTACGTTCTTCGGGTGTGTTCTTTTGGAAGTCCCCGAACATTTTTAGGAGGGTCATGTTGGAGGAAGCAAGATCGGCACTGCCACCGAGAAATCCAGGGAGAACCTTTGCAAGGGCATTAAGACATTGTTGAGAGAGATTTCTGGTGGCATCAGCTGGGCTCTCTGGAGTGTATGTCTGAGAAAATACAAGCATAAATGGTCTTAAAACACATATACAAAAGAGCTTATTTGAGAATTGCACAGTCAAAGCAGTGGATTTGACTTTGTTAAATTGCATGCAGATCATAAAATTTGTCAAAGTGCTTCTCTCTTTTGGCAAAGAGTTTGGCATCAATCCAATCTTACCTAAAATGTTGACAAAGAACAAATTTGCTTCCATTTTTCAGATGAGCCAAGAATAGTATTTCTACATAGCCCCTCATAGATAAGATAAAGAGTGAATGAAAATATTAGTACTCACCGGAAGAGCTTTCTCCCAACCAGCTGGTAGTTCACCACTCATGATAGACTTCAACTCTGAAGCTTCCTCCTTATATTTCTTCTCATATTCGGCAAATTTAGCATTCCACTCAGCTTCAAGAGCAGCACCCTCAGGGACATGGCGGCTCCAATGCCTATGTGAGAAAAAAAGGCAAGCACATTTATTAAAAAATATCTAAAAATTCAAATCAATTGTTTCATTTTTTCGACAAGTGAAAATATTAGTAAGAAGGAACCAAAGGTGTGCCACCTAGAAGCATAACAATACAATTTCTTACTTTTTTACGTCCTCGGGCACATGAAAAGGCTCATATGGCCATCCGAGGTTGTTCCTTGTGGCATCAACTTCCTTAGCACCAAGTGCACTCCCATGTACACTGTATGAATTTGCCTTATTGGGAGAGCCATAACCAATAGTTGTTGTCACCTGTGTAGAAGTTAAAAAGTCAGTTTCAGAATGGAGCAAAACCATAAATTTAAGAATGTTAAAAAAAGAAACTGCAATTAAGAATGGCCTTTAATGTACTGCTAGAGCAACTCCATAAACCCTCATCAACAAAACCAATATAACTAATGGTTAAATTGCAAAAATTGAGCACAAAATTACTTTAACTGATGAGAAACAAGTAAATATAGAAACCAATTTAAAATTTTTGTTGAACGGATTATTTCCAAAGTCATCATTCCTCGAACTTTCCACCCAAAGCAAATACAATAATTAATGCATGCAGCTAACATAATACCTTGATCAAAGTGGGTTTGTCTTTGACAGTCTTTGCTTCTTTGATGGCAGCACGAATTTCATCATAACCTGTGTTCCCATTCTTCACCCAGATAACGTGCCACCCAAGACCCTCAAAACGAGTGTCAACACTCTCAGTAAAAGCAATCTCTGTGTCACCGTCAATGGAGATATGGTTGTCATCATAGAAAGCAATAAGCTTCCCAAGTCCCCAATGACCAGCAAGAGAACACACTTCATTTGCAATCCCCTCCATTTGACAACCATCCCCCAATATCACATATCTAGACAAAAGAATACCAATTATAATCAATCAAACAAATTAAGGTTCTTCTTCTCTTTATTTTTTATTTTTTATTTTCTTATATCTAATGAGTGAACATGAAAAATCAAGATCTAAGGAATTTTATTACGTGTAGTGATCAACGATCTCACTGTCTGGTTTGTTAAAGCGAGCAGCCAAATGCTTCTCTGCTAGGGCCAAGCCGACAGCATTGGCAATACCCTGACCAAGAGGACCTGCATAAGAGTTGAGGGAAAACAGAGGTCAATAGCACGAATTTTAATGAACTTGGTTAAGAAAAAGAACAAATTATCAGACCCAGATTCTAACCAGTAGTGACTTCAACACCAGGGGTCTCGAAGTTCTCTGGGTGACCCGGGGTTTTGCTTCCCCACTGACGGAAACCTTTCAAGTCTTCTTCCTAGTAGATGAATCCAATGGACAAAATTTTAGCCATAGAATCCAAATGAATCCTAATAGAAAGTAAGTCGGGCCATTTTGCAAATAAAGGTAACCAAGTAATTCACTAAAACATGAAAGAAAACATATTTCTGTTTTCCCTCATAATTTGCTTCCACCACTAGACTATGCGAGAAAGAATCACAGTGGATTGAGAAATTCATCAGTGGAACTAGGACTAACCTCATTACCAAAGCTAGATTGAAAAGAAACTACCAATACTAACCCATCACACATGTTACATGAAAGAACTAATTTCAAAAATAAAGAAGAATAAACAAACAATATAAGAGAAACCCAACTTGATTTGACAAAAGCAGAAACAACTTCAAGTCGAATTGCGGCAGCTAATTCACAGAAAAAAAAAAACTACAAACAAATCAGCATAGTCTAAACCCAGTTTAAATCTACACCATAATTGAAATTCATGGTTCTTTTCTGGGTAAAAATTCATTGTATACAATTAGAGACTATTGTTAACAATTACATGCCTGAAATGTGAATTTTCTCCTTCAATAAAAATACCCAGATCAGAATTCGATTCAACCAACCCATTCACTCATATGATTCTCAATAAGAATACTCAGATCCAAAGCAAACCAGTGAAGATTAAGCAAAGAAACAGACCTTGATACTGTCATAACCAGCGAGGTGAAGCAAAGCGTACTGAAGCATACAACCATGTCCAGCGGAGAGAACAAAGCGATCACGATTGAACCAGTAAGGGTTCTTCGGATTGTACCCCATCAACTCATCGTACAGTATATGACCCATCGGAGCACAACCCATGGGAAGACCCGGATGACCCGAATTGGCCTTCTCGACGGCGTCGATTGCGAGGAAACGGATTGTGTTGATCGATTTCTCGAGGAGGGCGGTGTCGGTCTTGGGGAGAGTTTCGACGGCGGCGGAGGAGCGGACGGGGCGGAGGGAGTAGAGGCGCCGCCGTGAGGTGGTGGGGGTAAATATTTTAATATACTAAAATAACCTATTAAAATAATCATTTTCTAAGCGATACCATTATTAGAGTGGGTCTCTCAAGATTAGATATTTTGGCAATCTAACATTTTAAAATATGACATTGGTTCAATTGAAACCCTTCATCAACTATCCACATCAACTATCCACAACTATACTACGCACACACTTCAACTTTTTCGTACAATACCCAACTTCATTTAGCCTTCGTTTGGGAAGTGAGTTGACTTTTTGATTTTTTGACTTTTTAGTTATTTTAATCTGGTTTGGGAAGGACTTTTTAACTTTTTGACTTTTTTAACTTTTTTCATGAGAGAGGATTGTAATGATTATGGGTTAGATTTGATATTTTGTTTTTTGTGGCTAAAATAGCTTATTTTGTTTTTTGTGACTATGTTAGCCAAAAAAACTTGGCTTTTTTCTTCCCAAACGGAGCCTCAATCAATTTTATTGTGTTTGAAAAGTAGAATGTAAAAGATTAATAGTGAGGGAATTAAATAAAATTATATTTGTTTTGATGATTGTTATTAGTATAGAAATTGTTAAATTATTTTTATATAAAATAATAAAATAAATAAAAAATATAAAAAATTAAACATTAATATTTAAAAAAATTCTCAATTTATAAAAAATAAAAAAATTTCTAATCCCCTTACTATTTTACTAATATCATCTCCACCTCCTCCATCTCAATTCCCCTTCCAACTTCCATCTATATCACCTCTTCCATCATAATCCCTTAACAAACAAACACAACACTAAGGCCTCGTTTAGAAACAGGCTAATTTAGTAACTTTTTGGCTATTTGGCTAAAATATGAGCTAAAAAAAACTAGTATGTTTGAAATGAATTTTTGATTTTTTACGAAAAGATGTGCAAAAAGTAGAGAGAAAAGAGAATCTTTAACCTTTTGGTATGGGTTGTTGGTTTTTTGGCTAATTTAGTAACTTTTTGACTTTTTGACTAAAAATGAGGGTTCCCAAACGAGGCCTAAATAACCCCACCTCCATCCTAATCCCCTCTCATCTATTTAACCCCAAAACAAACGGGGTCTTAGAGTTCTCTATCACTACCCAATCATCTTAGGGTCTGTTTGGTAACACTTACGTTTTCAGTTTATATTTACAAAAATTTTATAAATTAATTTTTGTTTATTTTTAGAAAAACATAAACTACAAACGCGTTTGATTTGGACAAAATGTTTGAAAATTTTAAAAAATATAAACTAAAAGAATGAGAAATGGCGAGTGGTGGCGTAGCGGGCGGTGACGAGTGGTGGCGGATGGTAGCAGCGGAAGATGGTGATGGCAGGTGGGTGGCGACGGAAGACAGTAGTGGTACGCGGTAGCGAGTGGTGGTGACGGAAGACGATGATGGCGGGTGGCGGGTGATGCGTAATAGCGGTAGGTTGTGGGTGGTGGCGGCAAAAGACAGTGATGGAGGGTGGTGGCGGAAGACGGTGGTAGAAAGTGGTGGTAGATGATGGCAGCGGAAAATAGTGGTAGTAGATGGTGGCAGGTAGTGACGGGTGGCAGGTGGTGGGTGGTGCTGGCGGAAGACGGTGGTGGAAAGTGGTGGCAGGTGACGGGTGGTGGCGGCGAAAGACGGTGGTGGAAAATGGTGGCAGGTGGCGGCGGAAGATGGCGGTGGAAAGTGATGGCGGGTGGTAGTGGCGGAAGATAGTGGTGGCGGAAGACAGTGGTGGAAAGTGGTGGCAGGTAGCGGGTGGTAGCAACGAAAGACGGTGGTGGAAAGTGGTAGCATGTAGCAGATGGTGGCAACGGAAGAAGGTAGTGGAAAGTGGTGGCGAGTAGTAGTAGTGAAAGATGGTGGTGGCGGGTAGTGGCGAGTGGTGGCGACGGAAGACGGTGATGGGTGGTGGCGGTAAAAGACAGTGGTGGACGATGGTGGTGGCGGAAGACGGTGGTGGAAAATGGTGGCAGGTGATGACGAGTGGTGGGTGGTCAAAAAAAAAAACTAAAAATGTAAACTCATTTTTTGAGTTTACAAATTTTGGCCAAATTTATAAACTGAGATCACTGATTTATAAACCAAAATATTTACCAAACAAGTTTTTATGACAGTTTTTTTAATTTTTATAAATATAAACTGAAAACGTAAGTGTTACCAAACGCCACTTAAGTATCTTATTTATTTATCTTCTGCACAAATTATAATATTATGAAATATTACGTGTTTATATTTCGAAATTACTGAATAATTATCCAAAATTCTTAGGGGTGAGCATGGTCCGGATTGAACCGGATTGAAGTAAAACCAGGACCAATCCGTTATCTACAGATCCTGAAAAATTGGAACCAATCTAATCCGTTTAAATCGTGAAACCAATCCGAACCAATCTATTTAAACACGGATTAGATTGATTTAGGACCACGGATTTACATAATTAAATAACAAAAAATATATATATATAACACTTTAATTTCATAAAAATATAAATATAGCAACATGTCTTTTTGTAATAGCGACAAACTGTTCTAGAATTTAAACAACCATAAGAAAACTAGTTCCACTATAAGTGTTTAGACCATCACAAATTAACATTAAAAACTAGCAAACAAAAGTAATAAAAGAAGATACTATACAAGTTTAGGTTTGGATTTAAGTTTTATATGAAATAAAAGAAGATACTATGCAGGAGGGTGTATAATAAAAATATAGACTATTTGTATACGGTCCGGATCGGTTCCAATCTGGAACCGTGGGGCTCAATTCGGAACCAATCCGTGAACTATGAATTTTTAATTTTTCAATCCGGAACCGAACCACAGATTCAAAAAACTAATTCAAACCTACTGGATTGAATTAGACTGGATCAAATTACGAATTTCACGGATTCTTTACTCAACCCTAAAAATTCTTGTTGGTTTTAGAGCACCTCCAATTTCTTCATCAAATTTTTTTTATTGAATTTGAATAAAAATTTAATTTAATAAGATACACTTTAAAATATTAATTTAATATGATACAAAAGTGCGTTGTTATCATTTTAGCACGTCTTTATTTTCTTCAAAAATATTTTTATAAAATTTCTAATTTATTCAAAACTCAATTATTCGACCGGTTATTCAATCGATCATCCAGTAATAATTGCTGTAAAATTTGGTGAAAGAATAAAAATTTCCTTGATTTGATAAAAAACGGTTTGAGTACCAATTTTATCATTTTTTTTTATCAAATTTAAATTTAATAAAACATTTGAAGAAGGATTAAAGATGGGCTTAGAGATTGAGGATTTGATTTTAAATTAATTTTTTAATTTTTAAAAATAAGAAATAATTTAATGAAAATACATATTGAATTTTTTTTCACAAAAAATAAAAATATATATGTAAATAATGAGTTTTTTTTTTTTTAAAAAAAATATGCCTATCTATCTGTGTTATTATAAAATGAAATCTGAATTAATGTGTATCATATAAATTTAATTTCGAAAAATAGCTTAAAAACTGCTGCAAACTTATGATATAAACCTATAATGCACATCCACACTTTCTACTAGTATGTAAATATATGTAGGTTAAAAATATTTCAATTCACAAAAATATCTAATATTATCATCTAAAAGTACTTAAATTACAATTTATTATAAAGTGCATACTATATACATGTTGAAGAACTTTTCCTCAACCACAATTTAGGTATTATGATAGTATGATTGTATAGTTTGATTAATCGAGACAAAAGTTATTTATGTGATCTCATTTTTGATTTTTCATTAGCTAGAGTATTACTGTATAGTTTGATTAATCGAGACAAAAGTTATTTATGTGATCTCATTTTTTATTTTTCATTAGTTAGAGTATTACTGATCTTTTCAAATTTAAATTTAATAAAAATTTGATAAAATATGCTTTAACAATTTGATGAACCAAATGAGTCATTCAATTCCAAACAGTCATATTTCTGGAAGCGGGGTGCGTACTGTAGAACAAGATGCAGAAACCGTGCAGCCCTTGCAAACGACAAAGGTTGTCTTGCAAAAAGATAATTAATAGTTGACTTTTTCCTTTTGTCCTTTGTTAAAATCAAATCTCAAATTTGTAAATTCTTTGAGTGTGTTTGGTAACGTTTATGTTTTTAATTTATATTTATAAAAATTTTATAATGTCTATCTATCTATATTATTATAAAATGAAATCTGAATTAGTGTGTATCATATAAATTTAATTTCGAAAAATAGCCTAAAAACTGCTGCGAACTTATGATCTAAACCTATAATGCACATCCACACTTTCTACTAGTATGTAAATATATGTAGGTTAAAAATATTTCAATTCAGAAAAATATCTAATATTATCATCTAAAAGTACTTAAATTACAATTTATTATAAAGTGCATACTATATACATGTTGAAGAACTTTTCCTCAACCACAATTTAGGTATTATGATAGTATGATTGTATAGTTTGATTAATCGAGACAAAAGTTATTTATGTGATCTCATTTTTGATTTTTCATTAGCTAGAGTATTACTGTATAGTTTGATTAATCGAGACAAAAGTTATTTATGTGATCTCATTTTTGATTTTTCATTAGCTAGAGTATTACTGTATAGTTTGATTAATCGAGACAAAAGTTATTTATGTGATCTCATTTTTGATTTTTCATTAGCTAGAGTATTACTGTATAGTTTGATTAATCGAGACAAAAGTTATTTATGTGATCTCATTTTTTATTTTTCATTAGTTAGAGTATTACTAATCTTTTCAAATTTAAATTTAATAAAAATTTGATAAAATATGCTTTAACTATTGGATGAACCAAATGAGTCATTCAATTCCAAACAGTCGTATTTCTGGAAGCGGGGTGCGTACCGTAGAACAAGATGCAGAAACCGCGTAGCCCTTGCAAACGACATAGGTTGTCTTGCAAAAAATAATTAATAGTTGACTTTTTCCTTTTGTCCTTTGTTAAAATCAAAGCTCAAATTTGTAAATAATTTGGATCTATTTGAT